ATCCCAATCACAACCGCAACGATCCGATCCGATTGTTATTTTTCGTCATGCCGCACACACACAGGGAGAGAGAGAGAGAGAGAGAGAGAGAGGGGGGGGCAACCCTTTGACAGGGGTCTGGTCTCGCCCGGTGTCACATGTCAATTTGTGGAAAAGAACAGCTCCTCAGGGGTAGAGAGTAGACAGCTTTCTTGACAGACAGCACCCCAAAGACGACGAAGTGCAACGCCCAGTGCGTTAGACCCGACCCCGACCCCGACCCCGACTCCGACTCCGACCCGAACCATTAATATTAATAGTCCGCCCCAGAACGGAGTGCGTGCTGTACGTGACTTTTTCCCCGGGTGCCCTGCCCCGTTCTTCCGAGGCGAATCTTTGGCAAAACTCCGTTTTCTTATCGTTTTGATTTGTAGACATTTTATTGCTTTATTGATGCGTTCTTATCAAAAGCGCAGCGTTTCGTTTGATGGATTGTTTTCAACTCTTTTGAGGCCTCTACCTTGGGCTCTCCCCTGGGCATAAATCGTCAGCATTTTTATGCTGGTAGGTAAAACCTTCATCCCCCCATCCTCCATCCACCATCCACCATCTCCATCATCTTTGGATCGGCTCGCACGCAATTTAACTTGGGAAACTTTTTCTTTTGTCAAATTTACAAATATTTTTCGGTTTGATTGGCACTTACCACCGTCTGAGAACCGACACACAAAGAGCACACAAAACGCAGTGTTTTGTTGTGGGAAAATGAGGCGGGCTCTGTTTAGGGAGTTTGTTTACCGCACAAGAAAATTCGAAGCGGCTACAAATATTAGAGGATCAAATATTAGGGTCCGTGAAAGGAGCTTCAAAAACAGAGAGATGCCGATTTTCCTACTGTGACTTGGTGACCCCGACCTCACAAAATCTATGCACGCTAATTGAGGTCAATGGAGTAAGTTTTGGAACATTAATTCGTTCTAGATTTTTTTTTGGAACATATTATTTATTAAAAAATAAATTTAAAAAAAAATTAAACCCAAAAATATTTATATTAAAATTAAGAAGAAACATAATGCATCAAGTTAATTCTAATTAAATTTTTGGAACTAAAAATTAGATTAAAAAGTGAATAAATAAAGTTATTAAGAAAAATTAATTTAATACAAATTTAAACTAAAAATAAAAGTCCTTCCACACACTCACCAATTTCTGTGACGCTGTTTTTCGATGCCCCAAAAGGAAATTGCTGAAACGAAATAATATTAATATAATTATTTATTAATATAAATTAATGAAATAATATATTAATCTATTTTCTGTTTTTTATTTAATATTGGAATAATAATTGCTATTGAATTAAAAGTAATTTAAGCTTCAACAGTGTGTATTTCTTTAGTAGTTCTTGCTGTATAAAATATATACTTTATGCGGTGGCAGATGCTATTTTACCCCACTCCTCTGAGGTCCGAGCCTTGGAGTAAAACCTTCTCTAAAATCCCATCATAATTTGTGATTACAAAAGGCCAACGACAAAAGCAAGTTCCACTCAACTGTTGTAAAATTTTATGATTTCTTTACAAGGATTTATATATATTTACAAATTATGCAGGAGCCTAAGCCTGCAGTAATAAATTACTAATGCTCTCACCTAACAAAAAAAAAAACACCCGAAACTTTCGACGAGAAATATTAAATTTTACGAGCTTAAATTTGTGTACGTGTTTTGGCTGCGAAGACAGAGAGACAGGCTTCCCCCCAATTGGCAATTATGCCGATTGAAAAGTGGCCAAAAACTTGAGTAAACCGATTTTATTGATGGCTCGTCCCGAGCCCCAGAGAGGCTGGAACTAATCTCCTTAACAAGACGGGTATTAGGGAGTGCTGTCTATTGGTCTATTCATATTTCAAAAGGCAACAACTTTGCGCGACTGGCGCAAAGCCCTCCCCCCGCCCCCTCCCCTCAGAATGGCGTCATTAAAGTTTACGATCTTTTTGTGCGGGTGCCGGGTGCCCGGCCGTAAAGCACGAGTATGCAAAGCTATGCCCAGGCTATTTTGTAATAAAGGGTATTCCCGTAGACATTCCGGGCCAAATGCCCGCCACTTGTTTTGGGTGTTTGCCGTTTCGGGGATGGTCCATTGTTTCGCCAAGTGCCAAAAATGCAACAGCAGCAGCTCCTGCTTCTGCTTCTGCTTCTGCTACACATATTCCTGCTCCTGATTCCTGCAGAGAGATCCATCCGAGTGTCGTGTGTCTTACCGCAAAATGTGTTGGCATAAAATCAACAAAAGTCATCAAAAGATATGCACGAGGCGAGGCGAGGCGAGGCGCCTCCAGCCTCCAGCTCCAACTTTAGCTCCAGTTTCAGTTGAAAACTTTGCATATTAAATGTCATTCGGTAAAGTGGAATTAAGGAAGCGCAGCCAGCGCCCAGGAAACGCTGAAGCCTGTCACAGCAAATTATGCTGAAGTGCGTCTGTCAGGGTCCTGAAGAGGATGCATCGTCTGGCCCGCTCCGGCAAAGATTTCTCGGTTTCGGGTTGGGTTCGGTTTGGGGCATTGAGCCATAAATGAAAACTAAACAAGATTTCGGGCGCAGAGAACTTGCTGCAAATTTTATGAGCTAATTTTAATGAAGTTGCTAGCAAGCAAAAAAAACTTGATGAATGTCGACACGAGATGCAGACAGGTTTATAAATTATGCCCAACTTAAGATAAGCGCCCGAGGAGCACTGCGTACCCTAAATAATTAAATGTGTGTGTTTCGTGGATAATGAGATTTCATTCCGAAGCTCTAATCGATTGTATTTTATCCATGGCAACCTTTTGGCGACCCACTGTTCAAAGGTTATTTGTTGAGGCTCAAAAGAAACGCACTCGGCCGATCTAATGACCTTTGTCACGGCCATTAGGATACCATTTGACCCCCCAGTGCACACAGGACTCCCTTCATTAGGCGGCCACTTTGCAACGCTGTGAAAAAACGAGACCAAAGGCAGGCATTTCATGCTCCATTAAATTATCATACAATACTCATTGGAGGAGTACTATGTGGCGATGATCTCTGGTTCTGGAAATCTAATTAAATTAAAATCCAACTGCTGATCCCTGAATGATCTCCTCCGAAGTAGCCGCGGAACCAGCGCGACTCCAGCCCCTGTGGGCACTGGCCCTCCACTCGAAGCGTGACGATTTCGATTCAAGTGTCAAATCAACATCATTATTCATTATCAAATATATTTCTTTTCTTTTCTTTCGATTTGGATTTGGATTTTCGGTTTTGCGGTTAACACAATCACAGCTGGAATCATCATTAGGGGAGGGGAGGGAGGAGGGGGGTGGGGAGAATACTTTAATTGAACTTTCCATAGGCGGTGGAAATCAGACCCCGTCCCAGTCCCATCGAGGGGGGGGGTTTAATATGTTCTAACAAAGCAATCAATATCAAAGGCATAATTAAATAAAACTAATGATGCCACTGACAGACAGTGCTGCCAAGGGGGCTAATGATTCCACAGAGAGAGAGAGAGAGAGAGCACATAAATCTCTTCGGTGTTTCGATGGTACTTAGGCTTGGGCCACTACAGAGGAGTGAGGGCCATTCCATCACTATATATCCGATCAGAAGCAGAATAATAATCGGTTAAAGAACAAATATCTGTATGTACTATTCTATGGGTTATTATTGATTTATTTGAATGATATTCTGATCTCTACCTCTGTCAATTCCATAACGAAAGTGTGGGCCTGCCTTCTACCTTCTTCAAAAGTAACAAACCAGCCCCCATTGACATTGACGCCACTTCAGACTTGGGGCTGCTTGTTTCAGACAGATTTTTATGTACCGTAACTAAACGTTAATTTATGAGTGGAGCAGACACAGAGGAAGACTTTCACTGGCCCGAGAGCAGAGCAGAGCAGGAATTAAAAAGAAATTAACACGCTTCCAAAAATGTGTGTGCCAGCGGAATGGATTGGGGGGTCGGTGGGTGGATCGGATCGGATCTCCTCCTCCTCCTCCTCCTCCTCCTCTGAGATGACGCTGCGAGTGTGTGTGAAGCCAAGTGAATTTTACAGACGCCCCCCCATTCCACCATCTCGTTATCTAATTGAGTTTGTTCCTGTTCTGTCTGTCTGGCCTTAATTTTAATGCGCTCGTAAAACAAGCGCAAAAATTGAGAGCCATAAAAGAGGTCCGACGAAACATTGAAAATTAAAATAAACACATAAAGAGCAACGCCGACACGGCGTCCTGGCCCTGGGTCCTGTCCCTGGGTGTGGGATGTGATGTGATACGCCCGATAACAAGTGTAAGACACATATGCATAAGCCCCCCCCCCAACAGCCCCTGTCCCGCTCTGATCCGATCTGCTCTGCCCTGGCCATTCTTTCCTTTATTCAGGCCACGTTAACCCTGCGCCTAGCCTATAAATCAAACGAAGCGTAAAGCGCGCTTTATCCTTCCGGCATGGTAACGGTACTACGAGATCTATGTCCTGGAAGCGTTGTTTTAAAATGGATTTTAATGGCCACCGCGTCGCCTCACATTTTCTATGCTTGTTAAAACTTTTATGAGTTATGCGCACATATCCATAATTTACTTATTATTTATTCGACTGTGTGTGTCTGGTATTTTGTTATTAATATAATGTTTCATTATAGCAACTTTTTTTTCATTTTTTTTTTAATATAAAATTGCCAGGTCGCCCATTTATTCGGATTTACTTGTAGTATTTGTCGAAAATCAATTAAGGAAGCTCTTTGCGTAGGAAAACTCCCAGACAACGGTATCAGGATTTACAGATTTTAAAAAATTATTTAGTTTTAGTGACCAAGAAAAAAAAGTAACTTATTTAACACAGCTTTAAGAAACTGTTTAAAAAACATTATTTTGCTAAATTTCTCTACTTTTTCGAAACTTGAAGAATAATTAAATAACCAAGGTTTTTGCATATCAACTTTTTTTAATTCTTTAAAAATAAAAAGTTGTTGTTCCAATTTTAATGCAAGAAGGTTTTCGTCTAACCTATTGAAGAATCAGTTGGAAACCAAGTAAATTCCATATTTCGGAGCTTATGTAATCAGTCTCCTGCAATAGAAAGTGTTCACTTTTATCTCTCATGTCTCTTGTCTCATCTCTGATCCAAACAATCACCAATTTCAGCATCTGTTCATGGGCAATCGAGGACCCGGTAGTCACTAAAAAACGACGGTGTACATTGAAACCATTCGCCATTAAAATGTTCATGAGGGCGTCTAGATGTCCGTTGAACACATCCGTTATGGCATTAATGGTCCCCATGGAAATAGACTGCAAGTTTTTGCATTCTCCAAGAACTTCCAGAAAAACCTCTGCAGGAAATCCGTTGATTTGCGGCCCCTCTAACTGTACTGTCAGACGTTCCAATGTGAGTGCATATTTTGCGATGATTTGTCCAATGCTAACGTTACGATATTCGTTGCAAAACAGGGTCAGCGAGCGGAGCTTCGGACATGATGGCAAGACTGCACATAATACGCAGAACATAAATGTAAGGCTTTCCACTTGAGGATACACTAAATCATGATAATGATCCACTGAACCTGTCGTGTTGTCCTCTGCTGTTATTACACATAAAGTCTTAAGTTTCTTCAGATGAACGCATTCTTCAAGAATATGGTTTACGCTTGCGCTACTGTCCGAATAAATCGTCAAATATTCCAGGTTTTCCAATCTCTGTAAGTGGCTGACTATAGCATAGTCATCGAGAGCACATGTAAACGAAGTAATTGTCGAATAATTCGATATTAAATAACGTGGATAGGACAATCTTACCCCCAGAATTCGAAATACAGCATATTTCCAATCTTTTGCAGCCTGTATTAATGTCAAGAAGAATATCCGATTCCACATGTCCCGGACTCCAAATGTGAATGAATTCGAGGTCTTTCATGCTTAAAATGGATTTGATTGCGGTGATATTCCCATTTGATACACCCAATTGAGCGCGTGCCAATTGAGAGCAATACTTTGGCACAAGTTCTATAACTGACGTCCCAACAAGGAGATCAATGTTAATTTGGACTACAGAGTTGCCACACGTTGCCAGAATGACTTTCAGTTCGTCGTCTGTGAATTTGGAACAGTCAAGTTCTGCGTATCGTCCGCAGGCATGGAAGAGAAGTGCGCTTCCAAGTTTTTGGTGTGTGTCGGCAAAATTCAGTTGGTCCTTCTCGTCCAGGTAACCGAACAGTTTGTCAACGATCTCCAGAGGTAAGTTTAGTAGCATTTTGTAGCAAAAGTAGCAAGAAAGAACAAAAATCAAAAAACACAAAAAGAAACACGTCTTGGCAATGACAAAGAACACAGAAAAAGTACATAGAAATCAAAGATGGGAATTCTTAAAGCTCGGCGATATATTGTGTATCGATGTTTGACCAGGGCTGCATTTGAGTCTTTGAATCAGTTTCGAGCTTCGGTCGATTCGCGTTCTCTCTTTCTGTCCTTCGTTCGCTGTTGCTCTCTCAGCAACAATGCTGAGGCGACTCTCTCTCTCTCTCGCTCTCGCTCTCTGCGGAAAGAGCACATGTTCATGTGTGTGTGGGATAGCAAGAGATAGATATAGAAACAGCTTAAATGTATAGCCTTTTCACACTGCCGCGCGTTTCTTAGGCGTCTATTGAGTCTAGAGAACAGCTGATTTGTGTGATTGAAAGCCGAAATTATGTAAAACGGCGACCAGGGGCCGGCCCCTGCCTTCGATTAGGACAGCCTGGAGCCTGGAGCTTGAATGCGCCTTGGCCTACCACGTTGGAGGAGAATATGCATCCAAAATAGTTTGTTTTTTGTGTCAACTAGCTGTACAAATTGTCTGTGAATATGCTGAATTGTTCCGTTCGTATCGTCAACCTGGTGCTGCAGTTCCTCACGGCGGTAACGTACACAGCTCCGACGGGCACTTGCGGCTCTGCGGCTTACCACAGAGCCCCTCCCCTCTTCCCCAGGTGTCGGAGGTGGTGGCCCTGGTCTACCTGGTGATGGTGCTGTACGCGCACTGTGTGCTGGCCGGCGAGTTCCGCAGCTCCGTGCTGATGTACGTCTACTTTCTGCCGGGCATCACCGCCGAGAGCGTGATCTTCGTGCTGTGTCGTGTGTGCTGCTTCACCGTTGGACTCGATCCGATTGTGGGTATACGCTGGCCACCGACTGAATGGTGTGGTGTACATGTGTGTGCCTGCTTTACAGGCGATCGTCTTCAATCTGGCCAGCGGCGTCCTGTGCACTTTCACCAGCCTAATCCTGCTCCTGTCCATGCTCGATCACTGCGGCAACGAGTACCAGTACAAGTTCTTTATAGCCGGTGGATTCGGCCTTCTGGCCGGAATTCTTCACTTGCTGAATGGCGTCATCTGCAACATCTACCTGCCCGCCGAGGAATGGTACGTGTTTCTATTTGCCAGATATCTAATACACTCTTGAGTCCATCGATTTGCCCCTTAGGATCTACACGAAACCCTCGAAACGAGTCCGAAAAAGGCTTCATGCAGACTGGTTGCGTTCCATAAAGAAATGAGAACAAGAAGCCATGGGAAAAAAAGTCCTTAAATGCAGCTTGAAATTTGTGTAGAAATTAGTTTTAGGATTTAAAAGTTAGAAAAAGTGCTTTTCCTGCAAAGATTTGGAATAAGTTTGCATGAGATGGAAGTACAGTCATCGTAAAAGGTGCAATATTTCTTCATTGGGGTGATCAAAGTCCCTATAATAATTCCATTTAAGTATTATCCGAATCTCTGCGCTCCTTATTAGAGGAAGAGACACTTTCTAGTGCATTTCAGCGGACTTTATTGGTATTGGAAAGCGGTAAGAGTCATCCCATATTCCTGTGCCACTTAGGCAATGATCAATGGCTGTTCTGGGAAACGGATTCGAAGTCTCTCTGGCAATCGAATAGATGTACAATAGGCACGATTGGACAGACCAAAAAAGCCAAGGATTGCTTCCCTTTTAGAACCTATAAAAACTCTATAATAGTCATAGAAAAATATTTAAAATAAATGCCTTTCTTTCAAATAAAAATAAATAAAATGTGTGCGTGTGTGTGTGTGTATTTCTAGCGATTCCCAGAAACACACACAAATCCAATATTTACAGCGAATCAAGATGAATCAATTACCATGCCTTTCCCATTTAAATTATAACACTTTCCCATGAAATTCCTGACCAACGTTCGCCATCAAGTAAACAATTTTTCGACATTTTAAACTTGCCGCAACTGCAGCAGAGATTTTTACCCAACACACACTTTTTTCTCCAGAGATTGATGACGACGTTCCCATTCCCCATTGCGGGTGCTGGCCGATGCTGATTGAGCCTGGAGGGGGGGGAGGGGGGGTTGGAGTTTCTGTCAGGCATGGCCAAAGCCAAAGGCAGGGAGAGACGAGACCCATTGAGTAATACGTCACTTGAGTTGTCAAAAGAGCGACGCCCGACGAGTAGGAAAACGTGTGTACGTACCACCCCCCCCCCCCACCACACGCATCCCGTCCGTGGCCGTGTCCGTGTCCCTGTTCCCGGGATTTCCGCACAAGTTGCTGTCGATCAGACCCACGTCGACGGCGGCGGGTAGCAAGTTGTTACATTTCAACATGTTTCGTCACGCCTTGAAATCATTTTGATACATGTATTTTGATCTCTCTATATTTTTTTGTTATGCCATCAAACAGTTTTTAAGTAGCGTCTTAGTTGAAGTGCAGGGCGGTGGACGGTGGCTGTTTCTTTTAATAAACAATTTTCCATGGCTGTCAAAAATTGTTTTTCGCCAAAAAAATTTTTTAAATAATTTTTTGATAACGGAAATGTGGATTTCTATGGGGTGCAGTATTTTTTTTTTTACCATTAACAATGATAAATAAGAGCAATATTTTGATATAAAAGAATATGAGGCAAGTAACTTGTCAAATTGATTTAAAAATTCATAAATCAACTGAAAACTTTCCCCTACGTTTCGTCGAAGGGAAATTCAATTAGAGGCAAGGAGAAGGTCGCTCCGACCGGAACCACAGAAACCGAAAAACCGAAAAACCGAAAAATGTACAAAATGTTAAGCATAGCATAAAATTGTATCGGACAGTTGCCACACCGACGACACGACGACGAGGGGAGTCTGTCCAAATATAGAAGAGAAAAAAAATACCCATGTTTAGCTTCATAATAATTCCGAGTCGAAGTCATCTCCTACTCCTCCTCCTCTGTGGTGGTGGTGGTGGTGGCGGTGGTGTTGCCTGTCTGCTGTCTGTTGATGCAATTATAAATTGTTGGATAACAAATTACATGCCTGCGTTTGGAATCGGTATCGGGATCGCACGACAAGTTTAACGCCCTCACGCACATATGTTCTTGGGTTGATCCTGAGGGGCGTGGGGCGTGGGGGGCGGGGGGTATCTGGCTAGGACATTGATACAGGTATTGGTGGTGGGACTGTACCTTTTTCCTTTTGGGTGGATTATTGTCCTATTCCCGATCATGTGTGCTTGTCCCGGGTTTATTGAACTCCCACCTTTCACCAGCCATCCTCCTTTCATTACGCAAATGTTTCGGAGTCCTTTCTTTGTTGTGTTGCTGCTGCCCAAATGCGAAAAGGGTTCATAACCGCACTTAGCCTCATTGGCTCTTTCGGTTGTTTCGGCACCACTTCAAATTCAATTCAATTCTCGCCCACAACCTGCAGGTCTCGCTTTTGGCCAACATTAAAATTAATGAATAACAATAAAACCAGCAGCCCCCCAGCACCCCCTCCCCCACCCCCCCACGTAGTCTGAAGTGACTTTTGACGTGTCCTGTCCATGGAGGTCTAGAGATTTAAACACTGCAGCTAAAGCCATCATAATTTAAAGATGGAAATGGAAACGGAAACGGAAACGGAGTAACACAGCCATTAAAATGCCGATGCCAAAGTTTTAATGATCTCCTCTCTCTCTCTCCCTCTCTCTCGTATAATCTCTTTGTGTGTCTCATGTCTCATTAGTTTTTGGGGGTCCCCTATACAAATGTAATTCCCCATTAAAATTGAGCCATGATGCCAATTTGAAATGATTAAATATCCCCCCCCACCAGCACCCCCAAGCACCCCCCTTTCCACTGGGCTCCATGTATGCAAATTAATTACGAAATTTATGATTTCATTTTGGCAAAAGCTTCATAAAATTCGGCCTGTCAAATGGGGGGTGGGGGGGCGAGGATAGCACATGTGTAAGGCCGTAAAATGCCTTTGGTAGAGTCGTCAAAAACAATTGGAAATTGAAATCAACATTTATGGCTCTATCCATATCGCGAGGTGGCCGAGAGAGAGAGAGAGAGAGAGAGAGAGTGTCTCCGGTGTCTCCGTCTTGTCTGGCTGCAACGACGACAGTCACGCACATTAATTGCGCAGAGACAGCGGGTGAGCGGGTGAGTGGGGGGGGGGGGGGGGGGATTCCATACGGAACTTTTTAGTATCCCAACAAATGACGTACGATTTGTTCTGCACGAATAAGTCAAATTATTTGTAGACAGCGCACTTTGTTTTATGGCCTGACAACAAGCCACCTCATCGCCACTCCTCAACCTCCCCCCCTCCCACTCCCCACTCCCTTAACTAGTTTCGTTTCTAGTTTCTTGCTCTACAGCTGACGCATCCTGCACATCCCCCCTGAACGTTTTTTACCCAAACCCACTGACGATGCTCGTGCCTCAATCATGGCCCTGCCGGCCGCCTTCCACCTGATGCCAGAATGCGGGCTAATTTATGGCCTGCTCATGTGTTTCTTTCCCATACAAGTATTGTTTTGTGGGTTTTCCTACCCTCCGGTCTCAGGCCTCATACTCATCCTCAGCATATAATTTTTCATTTACTGCTAAGTGTTTCTTGTGGGCCGCCTCTCTGTGCTCTCTGTTGATATTTCATAATTTTCTAAATGACATATTTTTGTTGACGCTTGAGTAGTTTTGTTTGCTTTGTTAATGTAGATTGCCTGCACCGTTCGAGGGGGGAGGAGAGGAGTACGGAGGTGACTTATAGACATGCGTATCAAATTAAAAGAGAATTATGTATGCCATACCCCCCCCCTACCAGGGGAAAATCTTTTCAAAGTGTGCAAATTTATATTTAAAACAAATGGCAATCAAGTGGCGACGCGTGAGATACCCATTGATTTTAAATGGATTTAAATCTGATTTAAAAAATATATGTATATATTCTTAAATGCATAAAAGGCTGGGAACTATATATTTTTTTTATTTTTTTTTTTATATCAAAATATATTTTCCAACAAGATCTACGCGTTTCCCACCATAAGAAACAGCTTTTTCGATCACAATCTCCTTAGAAGAAACTAATCTAATTATTTTCCATAACTAATTCATATTTTAACTAAGAAAATGCCTGACTTTTCATTTGGCATTTTGGCATTTGTTTTTTCTCCACCAATGAAGGCGCTTCTCTTGTGGTATTTGTTCCTTAATTTTGATTTTTCAGTCAGTAATTATGCATATTCGCTTGAACTTTGTCTATAACTAAATAAAACCCAATGAGAACCCATTTATCTGACTCTGATTATTATTTAAGAACATTTGAGTCCATTTGGAATGAGGGAAACTCTTGCCATACGCTTAGATCTTGTTGGAAAATATATTCGGAATTTAATATTTTGATACTTTTTTCCAGGAAATTTAATTCCAAGCCATTTATGCGTTTAAGAATATTTGTTTTTTTTTTCAGATTTGATCCATATATCATCAATGGGTGTCTCACGCCTTGCCACTTAATTTCCACTTGTTTTAAATATAAAAAAATACCCCTTTTGGACACATTTTTTAGTGTCTAAAACGATGGCATTTTTCTCGTTTTTCGAACCACAAAAAAGCACTACATTTTCAAGGGTTGAGAACATCATTGTCAGGGTATCCCAGTGCCCCATCAATGTCTAATTGGCTGTGTGAATATTTCAAGCAAAAAGTTCGACTTCTTTCTACTTGGGATATACAATATCGTCAAAATTAGAGCCGATTGGAAAAATATTTCTCATATGTAAAGAAAATTTAAAGTTCGAAATGGTTTATGCCGTCAATAATTGACAGTCTGGGTTCATAAATGTATTTTAGGGGATCAGATTCCTGATTATACGAAAGATTTGTAGGCCTCAAAGGCCTTTGCCTTGATATTGAAATGGTTATGAAAATGAAAGCAGCTTTTAGCCTGGAATACCTTAGTAAAATAGTTGCTTTGATAGCTTTGATTTACTTGATTTTTATTAAATATTTTTTTGGATAGTTTTCAATAAGCTACTTGGAATGCATATTTTTGATGGAAAAACAGTGCCAAGGAAAAAGTTTTAAGGGAAATTAACTCTATTAATAATTAATGGAGTGGCCTTTAAGCTCATGAAGCTACTGCAGCCTATGGGGCATGGAACCTGCCAAGTTTTGTAGATTTAATGCCTCAATATTGTCCCAATACCTTTTGAGTCCTTCAAGGTATCGAAGTTTTGCTGCCAGGAAGCGCCACAGATTCTCAATGGGATTTAAGTCCAGACTCATTGCCGCCCGCTTCATCAACGGTTTTTTGGGGCCCGGAAACCATGAAATGCTGCAATATCCTG